AATGAGCTGTGGTTTAACTCAGTGGAACTTCTGCTTTTATCATGAGTAATTTTTACAGTATCAACAAAAGATTTGCTACTTTTTGGTAGATTTATAATATTTTTTACTTTTACAGTGTTTTTCAGGAAGAGAGTATGTTCATATATATATTGAAGCATATATGGATGCATACACATATGTAGAGGTATTTATATACACACGGAGACTATATATATCACAGACATATATATTCAAAAAACATTTTCAAATACCTTATATGGCCTTACTAAGATAAAGATATCTAGGCTGATACCATCGAGTGTTTTACAATCTTTCTTTCATTTTATTACATCAACACTAAAACATTACTAAGCCAAAAATGCAAAAAACCCAAAGAAGATAAGTAGGACAACTTACACTGTATAAAACTGATTCCTAAATTAAATGCATCAGCTCTGGAAAGAAGACTTAGGCACTAAGAAAACCTTTACCTAATTGATGTGCAGCATTGAAATGCAAGAAAGGAATACTAGGGAGCACACACACTGTTTAAAGGTATTTCAGTCATCCCCCTCACCTGAAGGTACATCCACAGACTACAGTGGCAAGATACCACAGGTCAACAAACAACTCGAGAAACCACACAGATACCTGAAACCAGGGGACTGGCCTGTTACGATTTGCCAAATAAACCCAACTGCGAGGAACCAAGGTTTTTAGTTTCATCAGCAACCCTTTAGTGTTTGAAACTGTGATTAACAGCTGTGTTTCGATTAATTGGTGTGGTTTCTGAAGTGGCATGTCTCCTCTTACACTCTTTTGAGATGAAATCCATGCAATGACTGGCTTTCATTCTCTATAGAATACAGACAAGAAAAACGGATGGGTGACTAAGATCGATAAAAGCCGTTGCAAACTAAGGAGAGGAGAATGTGCATTGCATTCATCCAGAAAATGATTAAGCTATGTATATGAATATAGTATTTCAAATTATAATGAAGCCAGTATCCACAACTGAGTCATCTGAAAGGAACTGGAAACAGCTTATGGCTTCTAATAATAAAAATGTGTAACTTGGAAAACTTCATGAACACAATTAAAATTTTTTTATTACTAGCTTGTTCTGAAACTTGGCTGATAACATAATTCAACACTTGTGTTGGGTAACAAACACATCACACATGGCAAAGTCACACACTTTGCCAAACAACTGTATAATAGAAGCTATTTTATTGCTAGGAAATACCCATGAAGAAGACACTAAAAATTTTCTCAGAGGAAGGTTAGGCTCTGAAAGCTTACAAGGAGAAATACTCAGTAAAAATCCTTGACTGGAGAAGTTTCAGACACCAAATTCATCCCTATTTGTTGGTCAGCAACTTCCTTGTAACTGGACAGTTTTACTGCCACTTGTGCTAGTACAACAGAACACCAGGCAAAAGCAAAATTTCATACAATCATAGAATCATAGAATGGTTCCGGTTGGAAGGGACCTTCAACATCATCCAGTCCCACCCCCTGCCCTGGGCAGGAACACCTTCCACCAGCCCAGGCTGCCCAAAGCCCCGTCCAACCTGGCCTTGAACCCTTCCAGGGAGGGGGCAGCCACAGCTGCTCTGGGCAACCTGTGCCAGGGCCTCACCACCCTCACAGGGAAGAATTTCTTCCTTACATCTGATCTAAATCTACCCTCTCTCAGTTTAAAACCATTATCCCGTGACCTATCCCTACACCCCTGATGCAGAGTCCCTCCCACCTTTCCTGTAGCCCCTTTAAGTACTGGGAGGCCCCAATAAGGTCTCCCCAGAGCCTTCTGGGGCTGAACACCCCCAATCCTCTCAAAATACTAAGAATGTATGTAACCATGTAAGGGAGGTGCTCCAGCCCCCTGAGCATCTTCATGGCTTTCTGCTAGAACAGGCCACAAGCAATACAAGGTCTAAGTGGCATCATTCTTCAAGACTCCAGGAGTCTTCCAGGTGCTGCAGCCACTTCAGCTTTGAGGGTCAAAGGGTTTAGTGTGGAAAAAATGAGCTCCAGCTCTCCAGGAAAAACACATTATAAAACTGTGGGGCTTCCCAATTTAATTATGATTCTTACCATCACTGTAAAGAGCATCTCTATCTCTATGCTGCTCCCCAATTACTTCTCACACTGAACACAGACATACAGATATGGAAAAGAGAGGCTGTCGTGTTCACTAAGAATATCTGTTGGCTAGTGACAGGTCCTCAAAATGCCCATTCATTTGTCTTGGCCCTCTGCAAATGAGTTAAAAGGTCTACACCCCACCCACAGAGAGGACAAAATTTTGCCTCTCCTGTAAACATTAAGCAGTCAGGAAACTTTCCTCATTCTATTTTTGGCCAAAAAAGGCTTTAGAACATCAAAAAATTACAAATAAAACTACCAACATTTTAACTGGCAAACACCAGACACTGCTAAACTTTAAAGAGAAAGTTATGGAAACAAATATTCTTAAATCAGCATGAATTACTAAACAGTCTATTTATACAAAATTCTTCTGGTTAAAATTCAGAACAACCAATTTTTGTAAAGAACACACCCCATAATGCTGCAGACTACATTGCCCAGCAGACTCAAACAGGCGGCCTTGCCTGTGGTAAACTGGAACCTAAGATTTCTTCAAGATAACCTCACACTGCCTGGAAGTAAAAGCCAGAGCCCATATGATCACAAACATAGGTAAATTTTAAAAGAGTAGATGTATTTAATCTCCAAAAATATAAAAAATATTATAGGACTGGAAAAAGAGCAGTTTGCTCTCATAAACTCAAGAGTCACAAAGTATGCATAATGGACTATGCACAACACTGAATAGATGCATATGCATTGAATAGATGGGGCCATGTCAGGTAATGGTGAGTATGGGAACATGATTTCATAACTTTAAAACAAACAAACCAGCCAAAAAAAAGTAGTTCTCATTTTGTACATATTATGTTTATTATTAAAAGTAAACATTTATCTATTTAACAGTGAGCTCTTTTAAAAAATAAAGTACAATATATTACTACTTTTGTTGTCTCAAAGAAATCAACTTGTTCAAGCTGACTCATCTGTAAAATTGGCAGGCTCTAAAGCTATCAAGAAATACAGATGCTTAAATTTTCTTTTAACCAAAATCTAACCAGAGAAGGCTTGTACGACACAAGGAGTGCTAACACATCAAATAATATGCTTACACTATAAATACAAGGAGGAAATGTTGAACTTTGCTGAAAAAGTTTTCTGGAACACAATATATACAATGCACCAACCAAGCTATAATTTCAAGTCACCTTGGTTTTCATGAGCAATTTTGGCAATTTTTCTATATCCACACTGGAATTTATTGAGAATGAATGATTACTACTACATAGAATTTCAGTAATCTATAAGTTTACTGAGTCACTGTACAGTCACAAAATTCGCTTTAAACCCCTACCCTTTGCGCTTTCAAGTAGTGCTGCAGCAGACAGGGTGATATATTTCAGGACTTCTCCTGGTGCTTCTTCAGTGTTGCATATGAGATCACTCTACATGTGTATTTAGAGGGTCAGAACTTAATGAATTTGCTTTGTAACTCCAAATCTCAAGCAGTTGCTTTGAAATACAATACAGTCTCACCACCCAAATTCCACTATCAAATGTGGAAACTGCAAGCAACCTTGCACCTGTAGCAAAGGCTCTGCAGCTCAACCCATTTGTTAGAGTTGAAATTTAACTTCTCTTGTTGAACTAAGCCAGGTGAAAAGGACACTGTGACTAAGGCCAGTATAGAGGGACTTCTACCATGTTTTGCTACTGTTTTCTAGAAAAAAACCTACCGGGTGTTTTCTTCTGAGTAGCACTAGTTGAGAGACTACTAGAGAGTGTTTTCTAGCACTCTCTTCTCTGATGAATGACTCTCAAACACAGACAGACTGGAACTGACTCAAACCCATTTTGTTTTTCCTAATCTTTGCATGAAGCAGGTGTTAACCCAAATGGAGTCTGGGGATTAATCAAAGAAAGACAAGCGTTTTAACATTCAAACCGCTACTTACAGCTTTCACAACTTGAGAGAACTGATGAAAGATCCCTCACATAAGCATAACAACATAATGTGACAAATGAGTTTTGTCTGGTGAATTCTTTGTTTTAGATGCTGTTAAAGGCTCATGATGACAAGCAACAACAATGACAGTTAATAGGAAAAGAGTTTGTAATGATCTATAGCAAGGACAATAGAATCCCTGATGCATACTTTTTTTCATGGAAGTAGCACTTTTATTTTTCTACTGAGGTCATACAATTCTGAATATTAAAGACTGACATCTCTAGCATTGTTTCTTCCTAAATAAATCCCCTGAAGTGGTTTGCTCAGACACTGAAAACATTAAAAAGTGCTAATTAGCGTGAGAGCACATGCACCGTGATGTCTTACTTCCTCTTCAACACTTTCTCTGTCCTGGTTGATCAATACCCTAGAATTCAGTGGCCTGCTTAATTGAGAGTTGCAGGCTACCAGGAACAGCCTGCCTTTGTTCCAGCCTGACAGAGTACTGATACCTCTGCCCTCGCTGCAAGCTTACCATGGCTCACCAAAAATATATATCCAGACCGGAAAAGGAATCATCACGAAGCCACCCAAAAATACTTAAGATTCAGAGCAATTCAGGACAAGCTCCCCAGGTTGCTCTATGCTGGCTCCGTTGTAAACCAGGTTGTTCTCTTCCTGCACAACTACCTGTGAGGAGTTTTAACTCTCTATTAAACAGTTTCATTTTCCATCATTTGAAACTGTGAGGATGGAATTTGGCAAGTCTTTGTTACAAAGAACAGAATAACAAAATGTGCTGTGTCAAGGTACTTTATTAGTAAAGCTGGGGTTTATTAGCATCTTGACTCACCGCGTATTCTAAAGGAGAGCAGCTATTAAAGAGCAGTTTGTTTTGCAGATAACGCAGGTAGCAGCTCAAACACGAATGACCGCCGCTTGCTGATACGCTCCTCTCAGTGCCCGTGGCCGGGAGGCGATGCCACCTCTGTCACACGTGTGTGTGTGCCACCCGCAGCACAGCGCTCGCCGTTTCGGGCCGCCTCTGAGCCGTGCAGCACCGTGCAAGGGCGAAAAACCGCTGCCCTGCGCCTCTGGAAACAAACCGCACCCCAGCGCGGACCTCAAAGTGAAAAGCCGAGGAGGCGGATCACTGGCGCTTCCTGGACGACTTAACGGTAATTGCACCTGGTTGTTTCGGCGTGCCCGTGGCTGCGCGATGTGTCCGCAGGAGCGCGCCGCGGCGCCGGGCACCGCTCAGCGCAGCTGCCCCGGCGCGCCCGCCCGCCCGCCCGCCCGCACACGATGGGGGTCAGGTAGGAAGGGAGGGGGATTAGAAGTTCCACGCCTAGCAGAGGTGTTTATTTTCTTGGGAGTATTATACCTTTTCCTATTAGTCTAGCTGGGGGGTAGCAGTTGAAAAGGAAACTCAGTTTTCTGTTTGTGCTTTCTAGCACTTCTGTGCTTTCTAGCAAGTGAGCCGTTAGAAGTGGAGTTTCTCCTTTAAGATTAAAACCTGGCTCCATTTAAATGCCAGGCACATAGAAAGTGACAAATGTGTCTGTTCCCGGTGCCAGGGGTCTCAGCCATGGGCTTCAGAAGTAGGGGAGGACTAGCCCAGGGGATAACCCCATCTTCTTAGGTGTGCTTTTTCAGATTGTCAGTATTTACACCTGAATATTCCTTTATTAGTAATCAGCCTCTAACAAAACCTGTGGATTATTTCAAAGTATTTTTCAAAAAACAGGTAAGAAAATGCAAGCTCTCAAGGCTTGCTTTTGCTATGGATTGTTCTGTACTCCCACTTAGAAAAAATAAGGGATGCACAGATTGAAGAGTCTTTTAAGCGTTACTTTAGGCAAATTAATCCAACATTGTTGCTGATTTACTTTACCGATGTTTTTGTTAGCTGCTGAGTCAGGGACACAGCTAGAATATGAAAACATTTGCTTGGTGGGTTTTTTTTGTTTGGTCTGTTAAGGTGTGGGTTGTGTGTGAAGTTTAAATTCCAGTCAGGCTTTTCCAGTTGGATTGACATTTCAGAGCAGTCCATCTAATCTGGTAGGCTTGTTCAGCATGCTCCAGGACACAGAAAATAAGGAGGCATTTTATTACACTTTTGTGAGTGCCCTTATGAAGTAGGCAAGTAGGTGTGTGTTATCTTGAATGTTTTACAAATCTGGTTTTGGTGCAGGTTATAGTGATTATAGGAGGAGCACTTTAGCTATCTGAACAGATCATATCCTAACCCCTTGATAAACAAGCCTGTACACGTGCTCTGCCAGAGATGCACTGTTCTCATTGTTTTTGTCTCAGTCATATGAGCCATACTTGTTTGAAAGTGTTTCAGATAATTTGTTGATTGTGATGCCTCATATCAAGAGATGTTCAGGACATGTTTAAAATTACATTTGTTTGACCTTACAAAAAAGTCCTTACAAGAGCACACCAGGTGATTCTCTGTGCTGCTCCAGTTTCATTTTGGGTTTAGGCTACTCAAGACAGTATCTTCATGAGGAATGCAAGGGCTTGTTTTATTTTTAGCAGATGGTGCAGAAATGGGAAAATTCCCATTTTTATGATGTTTTATAAGCTCATCTTTTAGAAATTCCTTCAGAACAATAGTGTGTACAAAAAAGTCCCAAGGAGCTTTTGAACACTACTTGCTCCGCATCCCCAGTGGCCTAAGCTTCATTTTTAGTCAGGCTAATACCACAACACAACTGAGTGAGTATGAATTGGATACTTATTTTGAGATTGATACACACATTTTAAGGTTAATTGTGTTCGTGTCCCTTTCTGTTTAAAATGTCAAGTGTCATTATTACAGTTACATAATGTTTCTGAAACATTTGGAGTCCAAGGATTTTAAGTCTCACTTCTTTCTGATGCATTTTTGTTGGACAAGAGGAAAAAAAGCATGTTGGGATACTAAAGGTTAAGGTTCTGCAAATAATCGTTTTTAACTCAAGGCTTTCCTTGCATCTTAAAGCTGTATTCTTTCAAGTGTCTTAAATGATATTTCATACACTACTGCTTCATCAGCCACTGAAGCTGACGAAACTTCATGTATAAAGAGACATTAGTGCTTGAAGAAGGAGCTATTCATGGACAGTCCTGATAACTGAAGCTGTCTCTTCAGAAATAAAACAGTAAAGCACTGGTATTGTAAGCTTCCCCAATATGTGCTAACCCTGATTTGCAGAGATTTGTCACTTCCAGAGAGGAAGAATACCTAAGCTTGTCTGTTCCATCCAGTCTTCTGTTTCTCCTCTTGTCCTTTCTATAAGATCTCCAGACCTTATGTGGGATCATACAAGGCAGTGCCTCTGGGCCAGGCTGTTGTGAGCCATGGGGCGTTGGAGCTCGAAGACAGGCTGCGTGGCACAGCACCAGGCAGGGGTTTGGCCTGTGATGACCACCTTGATTTTTATCACAAAGGCAAATTCCAACCACTGTATATCTGGAATTTTTCCCCCTCCACTTCATGAAATGTCTTCAGTCTATCATAATTTTTAAAAAATTTCCCTCATATATGCTGTTTAACACGTAAATTGGTGGCTTGCTACTCTCTGTAAAATACATTCTTAGCTGGCTAAATCCTAGAGTACAGACTGTAGTTCCCAAAAGTTGTGGTTGTTGACTTAATGGATAGTGATTAAAGTCCTATTGATAAAATAATTACTTGTTCTTTGAGTGATAGAAAAAATCTGGCAAACAGAACAAAAATGTTTTGTAACTGTTATGTCACTGCAAGAAAAGATATTTATAAAATGATGGAACTAAGATTTTACATAATGATAGGGAAGAACATTCCTATGTCTAAGTCCATGAATTGAGGTTAGTAATCATAAAATTCCTTTTCTTTTGATGAATTTCCTCCTGTGAACTGATGAATTAATTTGGTATCTTTAATGTCTGCTTCATGCTGTTGTTTCATAATGTTTTACATATACTGAGTATTTTTTTCTTTTATGCCATAGTTTTTATCTTGTTATATCTTTCAGAAAGCAGCAGGAGAGAAGAACATTTGAAAACAAACACATTCCTTTTATAACAAATACTTCTTTATGTATCACTGCACTTTTTAATTTGCAATCTTTTTCAGCCTTTACGATATCAAGATTCTTGGCTTTTATTCAGGCCTTATGTCTGTAACTGTTCCTTTCAGAATGGCCCAGAATGTAATATGTCATTTATCTGGCCAAACTGCAAGTAATATAAAATTATGACTTGTTAACTGTCTTGTCTCCTGACTGTTGTGTTTAATAACATTGCTAAAGAAATACAAATTAAGCTATTGGTTATTACATGGAAGCAATACTCTGTGATATGCAGAGGAAAGTGTAGCGCTCTGTCAACACACTAGAGCAAACAGGAATCCTGCATTCACAGGAAACAGGGATTCCTCATTCTCTGAAAATTTTGTAGGGAAACAATTGAATGGAGCAGTTTATCCTAACTGTTCAGTGTATGAATATCACTTTAAATTGAAATACATTGCCATACAGATGTTGGTTTTGTTGCTTTTGGCTAAAACTGGATAGATTAAGTTGCAAGATTGTTTCAGTAAGTCTTTTTAGGAGTGTTGTGATTTGCCAGTGTACAGAAATGTATATTACTGTTTGCCATTTGAGATGACAGGATTTAGACACAGTAATTTGGTTAAGAATCGTTTAACATGGTCTTTGCATTTCACTACCAGGAAATTTTAGGGAAGTTGCTGTATTTTGAAGAATTCATAGCAGAAAAGTGACATTTCTATCTTTGTAAGGCAAGGTAGCAGCCGCAGGATGTGCTTAATTTAGTGCTGCTTCACAAGCAAAAGTAAACCTGAACTCCTGTGATACTTTAGAAGAATCAGGAAAGTACTTAGATAGGAAGTAGGTAGGGAGGAATTATTTAACATGTCTTGAGGCCATTTGTAAAGCATTAGCCTTTGATAAACCATATGTTGATCGATGTAAGAAGAATCCACATCCATCTATTTGACAGTACTCATTTAGTGTGCTCTTTGGGCAACTGGTCACTCACCATTTTCAACACTTCATCTAATTCTATAGTTGAAACTTCGCTTTCTTAGTCAAACATCTCAGAATGATCTTCCAGAAACCCACCTTCTGTTTTCCTCCTTGCTTCAAGTTGAAACATTCCTTGTTTCAGTTTTTCTCTGGTGTCTCATCTTGCCGTCATGTGCCACTGTGAAGAGCCTGGCTCAGCCTTCTGGATAATCTCCTCCTGGGTACTGGGCAGCAGCTAACGGGTCATCTCAAATCCCTCTCCCTTGCCAAATAAGCGTTTCCCTCAGACTCTTCTCACAGGGTATGTACTCTGAGTACCCTGTCTTGATGGCCCTACTTTGAACTTGCACTCTTCAGTGCCTCGTACAGGGGCCCCAAAACAGCATTGTATTTTAGTTGGAATCTAATAGGTGCCAAATAAGGGGGAATAATCATCTCTCTTGATCTGCTGGCTTCAGTCCTGTCGGTACAGCTTGGGCTGCTGGCTGGGGTCGGTGTGCTGGCTGGGGTCGGTGTGCTGGCTGTGAAGACCCCCAGGGCACTGTAGCACAGCTGCTCCCCAGCCAGGCAGAGCCCAGCCTGCCTCCTTCCACTGACACATACTCCCTCTGTGCTCCTTCCCCACAGGAAAAGATGAAAAAGCAAATATGAAAAAACATTCAAGACTTTGTCTAATGTACTTACAGAAAGCTCCAATTCTCCAGTGATTATATGGAGTCATGAAAAATCTTACAGGAGTTAATAGCTGGTTTAGCGCTTTGCTATTCAGTACCAGTCAGTGCTAGGGGCTCTGCTGTCCAAAAAATTCAAAGCTAAAAGCAGATCAAAATAACCAGCTTTTGTAAGTAAATGGGCATTCAATAGTGAAACAATTAGCACAAGGAAGGTGGCTTCTTGTCTTTGTTCACTTAGGGTATTCTGTCATATTCCTTCTGAACAATGGGTATTTATTCTGTTCTTTAGCCTGTCCTCTTTTGTTACTAGGGATGGTTCCCCTGAAGGCATGCTACTAATCTCTTATTTTTATTTCATAGGGGTTTTTTCTTGGTGTCCTCAGGTGAATCCAACACAGTTCTCCAGCAATCCCAACTCCTCTGTGTCTTTCTTACACCAGAATTGTTGCCAAAGTAATTACAAAATCAGGAATTGCTAAAAAAGGTTATTACTAAGTGACAGGCCTGGCTGCCATCACATTATTTACAGAGCTGAAGCACTTAAATTGAGAAAATTAATTATTAAGAACTTTGTGTGGTATAGTGCAGATGTGATAGACGATACAAAAGAATATATAATTGTATCTTTCTTCTGTAACCTGTGGCTAGTACAGTTAATTTCATATTTTGATTTTGCAATCTAAGTTATACTGAGGGGGCCTTTAAATGAGAAATACTAAGACTAAATTTTTTCTGAAGAATTTGCAATTGTTATTTCTTGTCAAGAATTGCATACATGTAAATACAGTTTTAATAGAGAGACTATATAAAATTTTTACTATAAAATGATAGTTTAAAATTCTAGTTGCAATTGGTATTTATATGTAATTGCCATGTTTCTTTTTCAATAGAATTGCCTGAAATTTATCTCTTTACACCTACTGGAGAAAATAGTGTTTACTTAGGAGCAGAACTGGTATTTTTGTAATAAAGTATTTTTTAAATCATATCAGACTGATTCATGCTATAGATAAATATTTTCTCTTAGAGTTTTCTAAAGATGCCGTTGAGTAAATTAGCTGTATTTTGCCTTTAGGGTTACATCTTGCTTTAAATTAAGTAATCTGGTTCATAATAGTTGCGTGCTCTGTGTGTGTCTGTAGTGTGTGTTCTTAATGATTTAAAATGAGATAGTTATTGAAATTGCAGTGTGACAGGACAGGTTTTCAAGCTTCCAAATGGTAAGGAATGAGTTGTCATTAGACCCCCAGAAAGTACCTTTGCCCACTGAGCATGCTGCAAGGCAGGTGCTTCGTAGGAGCTGAAGCTGCCATCTCTGCGCAGGTCTGGCAGAGCAGGCTGGAGGAGGACTCCTTGCTCAGCTGCAGGTGAGGTTATCAGGTCGGTTCACACCCACCTTCAGCAACAAGATAAACTGAAAGGGCGTATTTGTGATTGGTGCCAGACAACTTAGCCATTGCTCTAAAGGATCCTCATACCCTCCTCCCTGCGCAGTCCTTGTGCTTTCAGTACCATGTGGCTGTGTAATTAGTGTTAACCCTTCAAACAAAAGGAAACCCCCTGTTTTTCAGCTACATCAGTGAATTGAGCTGTATGGTGAATCGGATTAACAAGTGCTAGCTTCAGTGCAGGGAGAGAGCAAGGATATGCAACTGGGATGGCAAGTCTTTGGTGACAGTGTTGTCTTAGTTTGGCTTAAGCAAATCCTTAAACTGTGCCCGTATTTGTCTTTCCCTGGAACAGTGAGAACTCACCTGGCCCCTTCTGCCAGCAGACGCGATGGGAGCAGTGACACATGGGTGTGTCAGTCGGTGTGTATGTTTGCAAAGAAAGAATCTGCCTGTGGGTCTAACACATACTGTAGTCTCAGCAACGAGAGCAAAAGTACTGAAGATCATGTAAAAAGCTGGATGATTCAGAGTCCTTACACAGAAGAGGAGTGACAAGTAGGGGAGCATGAGGGAAAGAGCTTGCTTAGAGGATGTGGGCTGGGAGGGAGTCTGCTGTTTGAGCTCCTGAGGTCAGACCTGTGGTCTCTGCTGTTCCCAGCAGGACACCCAGGGCTTCAGCAGCTGAATTCAGTCCTGTGAACACACAGACATAAATGCTGAAGTAAAAAATGTGTGTGGGTGCTGTGAGCTCTTACTGGTGACACTTTGAGGTTGCTCTATCACTATTGAAAGGCTGTGGAAATCGGGGAGGATCAGAGAAAGGCAACTATTGTACTCATCTTCAGAAAGGGCAAGAAATCCTGGGAACTACAGGCTGGTTAGACTCATTTTGCTCCCTGGGAAAATCGTGAAGCAATTCTTCCTGGAAGAATTATGTTCTGACCCCACTTTGAGCAGGCACTTGGCTTTGTCACCTCCCCAGATCTGTCCCAGCCTTACTCATTCTCTAATTCTATGGAATTTACTTATACAGACATTTTCAAAATCCAGTATACAGCACAAGGCCCAAGACTGGCTTATTCAGTCACTCTGCAGGTAAATCGCTTTTATTCATACATGCCATGTGAAAAGTGTAAGCTAAACTAAACTTTTTTATTATTAAAAAAGTATATTTTTTTCTGTATGGACAGAATCTCTTAGACCTCACCCAAGAGTTGAGTAATCATTATTAGCCTTGTTTTGCATTTGACCTAATCAAGTATTGATATTTAAAACTATGTAACAGACACAAAGGTCTAGTGGGAGTCTTGACTGCAGACAACATCATACATAAACTTGCCATGAACTTCCGTGTCTCTAATAATGGTCTGTTGACTGCTCTAAATCATTATCTGTTCCACTAATAATCATTTCTTTGTGGTTTTCTGAGTCCGTTACACTCCCTTCCCCTTCTCTGAGAAAACTGTTACCAGGACTGAGAATTACTTTTTCATTGGATTGATTCCCTTTAGGCTGTACATACCTCATCTGGGATCTGTGCTTGGTTAGTTCAGGGAAGTGGTCTGATCAGTACAGCCTTTTCCAAAGTGAAACATGCTACAGAGTTGGAAGATAAAAACAAAATCCTAATGTGCAAAAGAAATAAATGGAAAAATGATTCCACATTATTTGGTACAAAATATCACTAGCACATTGTGTTAAGTTGTTGTCAGCTTTTTAAAATAAAGAGGTTCAGAGAGAGAGGAAATAATAAATAACAGGTCCACAATATGGGAAGATTAAAAAACCCAGGAGTATTTGCTTATGTCCTGTCTCAGTTAAGAGGAGATGAAGAATATAAGGAATGGCACAAAAAGACAAGCAGTAGCCTCTCATTTATTTTTTGGGGATAGAGAAGTGAAAGTGCAACAGAAGGACAGAAAATGTAAAACTTGTAAAAGGAAATTCTTTGGTTTCATTGCTACTATATGTTGAAGCCAAGAGCTTTGGAAGATTGAAAAAGGATTAGAGATTTATATGGAGAATGAGAATATCCACAGTTACTTTAGATTAAAAGCTCCTGGACTATAAGACACCATGTTCCAGAACGTTAGACAACCTATAAAACAAGAGGATTTTAAAATAAATTTTCCCTATGAGCAGGATATTGTGTTTATCCACACTGAGTTATTTGGCTGCTTCGTCTGGGACATCTAGTACTGGGAACTCAAACCCTGATACTAAACTCATAGTTCTTAAGCTGCTGGATTTAGGTAAAAGTATGTGAGCTAAGCATTTCTTCTTCCTGACAAGATGTGATGTCTGTTCTACCATCTCAAAAAGACAGCTGACTAGACTGACTAGGTCTTTGACTTTACTGAAACCTAGAATTGCTAGCATTTCTTTTATACATTTTTATACATTTTATGTGTTCTATATATATTCTTTTAATTGTCTCATATTTCCTTATAAAACAGCATCAGTGTTCTCGGATGATACTACCACATCCTGCTGCAGTTGTCACTGCCCCTGTAGCAGCATGTCAGTCTCCCAGGCAGTATGCTAGCGAAACCCAGCTGTCCTCGCAGTGACACACCAGATGAAGTGGAGTGGCTTGGCTGTGGACTGACGTCTTGTTTTGCTAACTCTGCTAGGGAAGGTGACAAAGAGGTAGGGCTGGACATGCAAGCGATAGTTTCATGATCTGCTCCAAAATGATGCATCAGTGCTCACCTGCAGGAATCCAGAGTGTCTCAATTGATACCGATACAAACTTTGAGCAGCCAAGTGCAAAAACGTTCTCCAGTGTATATTATCATCCTTAAATCATGAACAAAGGACTAGAAAAACATGATGCCAAAATATATTACATATAAGGGAGATTTATAACAAGGCTATTGATTCAAGTCTTGTCTTTTGATTCAGGAAAGTTTGCTAGCCAGTGTCTCACTATCTGGCTTTGTTTTATGTAGTTGCAGATCTGGGACACGGCTGGCCAGGAGAGATTCCGAACTATCACCCAGAGTTATTACCGCAGCGCCAATGGAGCGATCCTAGCCTATGATATCAGCAAGAGAGGCTCATTCCTGTCCATTCCTCGCTGGATCGAGGATGTGAGAAAGTATGCTGGTTCCAACATAGTACAATTACTGATCGGTGAGTTTAAAATATTAATACTAAGCAGGTTACTGTACAATGTAATGAGTTGCAATACTTGCTTAAGATGGTTAAACGTTTTAATTTTGATGGAAGTTAAGATGTATGTAATAGATCTGGTTGGAAATTTCCCAACTTTTTTTTAATTAGTGCTGACTCATTAAAACAGAAATGTTTTGCTTAGATTAACTTCTGTTTAAGAGGTAGACAGCTTTGTATCAGAAGCCAGCTTTGAATCCTTTGTGTCTCAATGGAGAACTGGGTACCTGAGATTTCCAGGTTCTGAGGCACAGCTGCTGTGGAGCTGTTCTCAGGATAAGGATCGCAAGGTTTCCTGGACCCAGAGAAGCTCCATCATATCAAGCCAACATGTTTTGGTGAACTGGAACAGCCACATACTTCAGCAGATGGGATTTCAGAAGGACCTCAGGGCAATCAGGGTTCGTCAGTTCTCTGCTAGAAGTTCTGCTTCCCAGCCCCAAAGTTTCTGACTGAGATGTGGCTCTTAGGGCCTGTAGACCCACTAATACAATGTCAGTACTGTTCTAGATTTCTGTAGGTACTAGCAGACTGCAGTTGTTTTCACAAAATGGTTTTAGGTTTCACTGCTAGCCCATTTTTCTTCTGTTAAGGTCTACACTCTTCAGTAACTGACTTGTTCTGTTCTCTTTGTGAGCCATACAGAAATACAGGTTGGAAGGATGTTGTGTTTAGGGTAAGAGATAAATTTGGTAAGAGATTAATTCCCTTGCATTCTAGCCAGTCCTCAGAGATCAGAGGGGCTAGGGGCAGCTGGACTTATCCCTTAATAGGTATGGCAGTTGGGACTGTGACTGTAAGTCTGACCCAGCCCAAGCAGGCACTCAGGAGAAGCCGTCAGATTCACCAATGGTACGCTTTATTTTCATGCAACATTTACAGATTCTTTAGGATTGCCTACGATAAATGCACAAACTGCAGGTTGGCTATATAACGCTACTCAAATAAAAACAAAACAAAACCGATTGCGCTCACACACAGTAAGTTCCAGGGGATAGACTCAGCATAGCCAAGGGAGTCTTACCAGAAGGCGTCCCCTCTGGAGGGGGTGAGAGCACAAACCCATCCATCTGTCTCTCCAGTTTGGTGTCAGATTATCGTCCCTCAAGTTAGGTCCAGGCTTGGGGTACTGTTTATTGCAGTAGGTTTGGTGAGTGGGTGGGACTGTAGTCAAATCATTATTCTATCATTAATACATAATTACTTTCATGGTGCCACGAGTATGGCTGTGTTTTGTGGGAAAAGAGGGAGGACAGGAAGCAAGGTCGACTTGGTACAATGGGTGCAGCTGGGTTGTGTGGGAAAGAAGGGAGGATGAGGCACAGAGTTGGCAGGTTGCTACTCAAAATCATATTTTGAGGGAACCAAGCAGAACAGGAGATAAATCTGTCCTTGAAGTGAAAGAATGGGACTGTGCAGCCTGCTCCCTGCTTCACATTCCTCCTTGGTGCCATGTCAAACACAAATCACTGGACCTCTGTCCAGTCCTGTGTGTGTTCTGGGCACTCTGTGTCAAGGAAAATGTATGCTTTGCAAATTTCTCACTGTTTTGCTCTTTTGCCTTCTTCACACTTCCTATACCCAATTTTCTAATACCTAACAAAGGGGTTTAGGGGACTTATCTAGTCCAACTCCTGCTCAGAGTGAGGCTAACGTCAGGTTGGTCAGGGCCTTTTCAGTCAAATTATGAAAACTTCGGGAATGAAAATTCTGCAGCTTCTCTGGGCAACCTGAGAACCTCCTGCTGAATACTTGCCCTGACATAAATAGCCATTATAATTTACTCTGTTTCTGTTCTCTTCCAGGAAACAAGTCTGACCTAAGTGACCTTCGAGAGGTTCAGCTGGAAGAAGCGCAGAGTCTGGCTGAACACTATGATAATATCATCTGTGCCATAGAGACCTCTGCGAAAGACTCCAGCAACGTGGAAGAGGCTTTTGTGAAGATGGCTACAGAGCTCATGATGAGGCATGGAGGCCCTATGTTCAGTGAGAAGAATACTGACAGCATCAAGCTTGACAGCAAAGACGTTGTAGAAGGCTGGGGGTGTGGTTGCTGATATGAGCTAGGTGATATCCGTAACTTTACTGGAATTTAGATGGTGCTTCACCCTAATGCTGAGTAGCACGGTAGCCATATTCTCCTCCTCTGTGAAACCAGCAATTTTGTAGAGGTTAGACACAATCCTGTTTGCTTTGGTGTCTTATTTTTTAAAAAGGGACTCTTGAGAGGTGGTCCTGAAAGTCAGACCCTCTGAAAAACTTAACATTTGTCCCCACCATTTTCTTTTCTGTAATCTTTGCACAAGTTAAAAAAGTGGAGGAAACAACTTTGAACTGGTGATGTGGGGTGGGGAGACAGATGGTTGGGGAAGAGGCTGATGCACACCCCAAATTCTGAAGCATTTAGCATGGGACTGTAAGGTCACTTTTGGAACAGGCAATCTTGACAGTGTCTTTTTATATCCTCAGCATGCCACCAATGACCAGAAAGTGACCGTGTCTCTGATAAAGGTATTTCAAGTGTCAGAATACCCAGCGTTTTGATTACAGGACCAAATAGCAGTCACTTGTTCTAGGGCATATGGTTTGCTAGCTAGTATTGGAGCAGGCCCAGGTGGGGAAGCCTTCTCTCAGGTTTTGTTGTAATTTTTTTAAGTTACCATTTTAACTAAAAGCAAAATCATCCTGAGCAATATCACATGACTTGCTGTCAAGCAGGATTGGACCAGTGTAGTTATTTTAAATATAATTAAATATAGCCTTGAGGATGGGGTAGATGCATTTCATTTATTATTGTTTGCACGGTGATAGCTCCCTTTTCCAAGTGGGTATCACTGAGTTTTTGCCCTCAGGTCTCTTAATTTCATTCCACAACTCAAGACCTGCACCACTGGAAACCAGAACTGGAGAAACCTTAAACTGACTGGTAGCCATGATCTCCTGCCATGTGCCTAATGGTCATATATAGGGTTAATTCTGATCAGACCTTTGACATTGTTACCAGAGTGTTTATTGCTTGAGAAGTGGCGTAGTGGGTTTGGGGTTTTGTTTCTGTTTTTCTAAATCATCTCTTTAAATACAATCTAGACATATAATGGGAAAGAAGACCTCAGAATAGCTGAAAACTGCCTGCATTGCAACATCCTGGTTGTAAGAAACCAGTGTCTTTTTGAGTGATTCCTTCCCAAATTTGTACTCAACTGCTTTACTCTCCCTTTCACAGGTTACCACTTGCTTTTCATTTCTTGAAAACACTCAGCAGGAAAAATCTTTCACTGTTGATCAAAAGTCTACATTAAGTAAAATAGATTTCATAATTCAACTACATATACTGCTCTTTCAGACTCAGCTCTGTATTATATATTGTAGATGCAGTTGAACTGATGGCAGAGTCCGCTTTGGTTTTACTCTCAAGCATCTTACAAAAATGGATTTGCAAAGGGAGCAGAAGTCGGTTTATTTTTAACTCTGCAGTTAAAGGTGTTCAGAGGTGACAAGTTATTTTTGCAATCCTGATAGCAAAGGAGGTAATTTTCAGAAAGCACCCACTTGAAGTCACTTGTCCCTTTTGATCAAAAAGGACCTCAATTGGTTTGCTACTAGGACTACACCAGTTTTTAGCTGTTCAACTTATCCAGTATTGTGAAAATCAGGAAGTAAGAAAGGGCTAATGGATCCGAATTTCAATACTATCCATCTTCCTACAGAAAATATTAAAAACATTCTCTAGTATTTCTGGTTTTTTTAAAACTATGAGGTAGATAATTTGAGGAGTTTCATATGCTTTGTAGCCTGTTTGCCTCTAATCTAAGGGGTTAGTTCTGAAGTTTTATAGCTGTAAGAGTGAAAGGGCCTTAAACTTTTCAATTAGTATAGTTTTCACAATTCTAATGTTTTATATGGAAGGGCAGGTTGAGCTGCTATAGTCAGTATTTTTGGATAGTGTTCCAGGACATTCCCAGTTCTTCTGTATCGAAAGATAACAGGCAGTAAGTGTCCAGCAGTGGCTAGACACTGAAAATGAAAATTGTTCAAACTTTAGATTTGTTAATGATCAGCAAACTCTGTGTTCCACTCTCGGAATAAACTGTGAAGACATTCCAAGCTAAAACTCAGTCCTGACGACTGCTTTTCCTCCCGGTTAGATGGTCCTTAAGACACAGAGTGTTTGACTTCTTATGGTTTACATCTGTATGTCGCAGTCCTGCAGTTCTGCATGCTTGAACATGGACCCTCGGGTAAGCTCAGCCTCCCGCTATTTGCAGGATCGGTGCCAAATTATGTAAGCCATGCTGATAAAAATTCACATACATTTAGGAACAGTATTGCTACTGCTCAGATTGAAATCAGTAGTTTACATAGTAATTCATCTTAAAACTGGAGCAAGATGCAAAATGAACATAAATGCTGCTTCCAATTCAGTCAGTGAATGATTGTGTTTTTACAGTAGATGGAGAACTGAGAAATTACTGATCTGTTTCTTTAGACTTGAGTTTGTTTACTAAACAAGTAGAATTAGACTGAGCCCTATACTTTTCCTTCCAATTTGCCCCCATATATCTCTTAAGCTAGTCTTGCAGGTTGAGACTCTGTCTGCAGGTTAGTCTGTTTCAGTCAGAAAACCTGACCTACAGCAGCAGTGATCTGTTCACTGCGTTTTCAAATGAAGGCACAATTCAGATTAGTTTTCATTTTGCTGTAGAAAACTAAGTCTGTGGCTTTAAGTCAGCTTTGTCTTCTAACTGGTGGCTCTTCTGTGTTGTAGCAAGTGTAATACAAGTTTGCATGCCCTACCTAAGTGGACAAAAGGGAACAAAGAAATAGACTGAAGACCTGGGTTATTTTTTCAGGATAGTAGCAGCTATGAATGACAGTGCTTGGGCTGTCAGTAGTAAAAGGCTATTTCAATTACCAAACCCTTTCTTTGTCTATTAGCACAATACTCAGTAGGCTGATTTATTTTCTTGACCAGAAATAAATTAAACAGTAAACATAGCTTAGAGCTTTTCACTCCCCTTCTGAAGACTTATTAAATCTGTAATTCACACACATAGCTCTGCAATTCAAGTATTAGGAAGACAGTCCTGTTGGTTTAATTTCCTGAATCCTGTTGAAACCAAAAGGATACCCGGGTGAAGAGTGAGTAGCAATAAACCTGAGATTTATGGGTAAAAACCTCAGTTTCAAATCTTAGGTTACAAATGTGCACTGATGTACATCAAGTGAATAATTCAGTAGTGCATGATCAGAGTTCACAGCAGAAACATTTGCCAGGAAACCTGTTTACTGGCAGTTGATCATTAACAAGACTATGGTACAGTAATTGCTTTTAAGCAGGTCTTCTTGGCTGAGCATGTATTTGCATTAGTTTTTATCATTTATTTTTGGCAAAGTGTACAAAATATTACAAAAACACAGAAGGGGACATTGATCCCTGCCTTGTAATACTTAGGAGTGGAATGCAGAGGCAAATACTGAAATGAAATCATCAGCAGAATGTGGTTCCCAGGAGCATGGGCATTGTTATCCTTTGTATTGATTTTGATTTAAGCTAATTTTATCTGCAGTTACTCATCCAGTCCATCATCATGGATGGTACTTGTACAGATATTTACAATTAAGTAAATATAATATACAATTAAGTAAATATAATACCAAATAAGTGTCAGCCTAGAAACCTGCTAACATTTGCTTTGCAAAACAAAAATTTTAAAAAAATGAAAATACTTAAGAGCAGAGGAAAAGTCCCTAATGATTTTATCACTTTCACTGTACTGGAAAGCAGATCACTTTTGTGGAGGGAAAAACTACCAAACTAAATGAAGCCTGGCTAATACCACACAGCTTTCTAAGAACTTCATGAGAAATGGAGCTCTTACTCGGTTTCCTTGCCTTTAAAGAAGATAATATTTATTTGAAGAATAGAGCTGGTTGTCATGTGCAATACACCTGTGTTACTGCAGTAGTACATCACTGTATGTACACACTCACACAGTAGCACCCTTAAATAACATTAAAGCCTTTCCTTGAGTTGCCCCAGTATCTATTGTCCCCCTGATATGTCCACCTCTGTTATTTAATCTCTTAGTCCCAGCCAGTTGACCATTTGAATGTCTTTTGCCATCTCATGCCAATCCTGAGGGAATGGGGAGATAATAACATTATTAGCTTCCCTTCATGGTACTCGATGTTGTAATGAGAGTCTCTTTAAAACAAGATGAATTTGTATGTTATTTCATTAATAGAAATTGTTTATCCTGCTTTCAAAACATTTATATGTTAACAGACCACTGAAGTTTACCCTACTGCATTATTTTGGGTAAACAGTGTGCTGGAGGAAAATGAAGTGAGAACAATACATGCTTTGTGAAACTGAAAAATAAAGTTACTCTCCTTTTGGTATCTCCCAGCCTTGGAGAGTGGTCACTTCAACCCCTGTCAGTCATTCTCTGTGGAGACCAGGTTATGGGTGGAGTGTGCAACCAGTAAACAGGGAAGATCCAAGGAGTGAGTATGTACTCTTTTGTGAAGAGGTAGCTCCCACATGACTCGCTTTACCTCAGTAGCTGGTGATGACCATGTAGCTTGTATTCCCACCCTTGTGGTACAAGAAGTGAGGCAATTAAACAGCAGTGGAGGCGAGGACGCATAGTTCTTGGTCAAATTGAAAGGAAATGAAGCCCAAAGTTTAGGCTAATCACCCTAGCCACTTAATTATGCTTTCTCAAATGATACTAAGTTGTTTTATCTACTAAAAGGCATTCCAGATTTACAAATTTGGCAATAAATGATGCCACATTGTTGATGTAGATTAATAGTTACATTTTATTACAGTTGTGAGAAGCATGGTGATCAGAGTCACAGAGCAGAGAGTCCTTTAGGTTGTTCAGGCTGTTCTCAGATTTGACAATTCTTTTCCATGCTGTAAGAAGAGATCCACAGATTTGGGAAATACTGGCTCAGTTTTGGTTTTGTAGTATCATCTGGTGCTGATCATCCCACTGAGATTTCAGTTAGAGAACCAGCCTCCTGGGTATCTCAGTTTTTACTGGCCAGGTGATGTTAGATTTCTTTTAACTCAATTGAATTGGACTATAGAGCTATTCGAAGCTGCAAAAATTCTCAAATGGAAGCATTTAATTGCAATCCCCACTGTGCACACTATTCCACAACTCAATGTTCTGATTTCTGGCACAAGTTTACCCCTCTGCATCTTTTTTATCATTTCATTTCAGTTTACTTGGAAAACAGCAAGGTTACAAAATCAAACAAACAAGCCAACCCAAATGTATATTTGCTGTCCATGGAATTGTTGCCAGAGGTTAGATAAAAATAGCCAGCATACTCTCCTATCCTCATCTTAGATAGCATTTTTTTTAATATGACTGAAAAATGTTAAAATGCACTTTAAAAATAATTCTTCAAAGCACAAAAGGGTTGCAATTTTTCAGGTTGGTTTGTTTGTTTTGTTTTGTTTTGTTTTTTTTTTAATAAGGGTTTCCATTACTTGAATACTGATAAAGGTAGTTCTGTATTACATTTGTAACTTTAGGCATCACTGAAGACAGACTGTGTCAACAACAGTCTTGTTTTTCCATATGAGTCAGCGGCCAGTGGAAAACAAGGGAACAGCATAACTTCACAAGAATGAGAAGAGTGAAGCCTGAGTAACAGTCAGGGAAGATTTTCTGTTTAGTCTGATAAAATGTGTTAGGTTTAATCAATGCTTACTCAGTTCAAAGAAAACACTGTCCTTCCCAGAGGTAAAATAATACACTAAACAAATAGTTATGGGTTTGCTTGTTCACTCTTTGTACAACAGAAATTTGGCTGCTGTCTATTCTAAGAGCAGACTGCTAAATTAGGTAAGTGTATGGTAACAGCAGAGTTTTGTATTTATGAGGAGAGCTACTAAATTGGCTCAAAGCTGGATTTAAAACCTATTTCTTCCATTATGAGATAAAAAGGATGGATGTCTGCCCCAGGACACCATTTGAAAACCATTAGAAGATCCAAGATCATACCTTGATAAAAATTTATTGAGGGTCTATCATTAAAAAATGTCACTTTCCATGTTTCTTCTGTAAGATATTTTTAGACTTCAATTGAGTTATTTCCAATTCAGTTATCCAACTGACAATGATTTCTACTTTCAACCTCAAATTTAACAGAAAACTGAGGATTAATCTTCCCGTCACAAAGCGCTGAAGGGCCACCAGATAGGCTGTAACCAACACGTTTTTGCAGACGTTTAGCTATCAATCTCCTGCTCCTGTGACAGTTACTTAATATTTGCAACGTGTATATATAATATGCTGTACTCTGAAATCAATCAAGTCCAGCTCTGCGATCATTCAGCCAAGGAGATAGTGTAGGTCAGGGTAGAGTATCAGGCAGGTATAGCAGCTTCACAAAGCTTCTGTTTCAGCCACTTCTGTCTAAAGCTTACATAGCCCATTCAAAATTTAAAATACTACGTGAACTATTTTCCTTCAGTCATAACGTTAAAAAAATCTTACTCTGATATCTTTTAATTTTAAAGCCTAGACTAGGATACTAAGAACAGTCATTTAAAGCTTTCATAAGAACATAAACCTTATTATTGAGTATTCTGTAAGAGTTTGAACTGTAATTGCCCAATAAACTCACTTAGACATCTTAAAGTACATACTCTTTGGATGTAATAGCTAGCTAAAAGGATCCAAGTTTCTGTAAATTTTAGCTTAGAGAAAGTACCTTACATATGACCAAAACTGAGGCAAGGTAGCAGTTCTTTTTAATTGTTCAATCAATAAAAGAAACCACCTTATGACACAAAGATTACCTTCTCCAGATAAAAGCAGAGGAAAATATTAAATGAATGCCTGTATTTCCTTAGAAATTGTCTTTTTAGGGCACCTGACCAACATGATCTGTGTATGTCCAAAAGCCAGTCTCTTTTGAGTAACTTCTAAGTAGCAGCCTGTAACACTGCACTGTGCTGCAAAACATGCGATGATCAACACCCATTTTTTCTGCAATAAATTCTGTAAGTAATACAGATTTATACAAAGATGTAAGGGGGTGATTGTGGATATCTAAACTCCTGTATGTGTAATCAGTGAAAGATTGTCCTTTGAACGTAACATGCAAACTTGTCTTGACAATTTGAAGGTACTTTTTAAAAATGAGTCAAGAGCTGAATTTTTAGAGACATTAAAGCTGCAGACAGTTGCCTGCTAATTTCTTAAAAAGCATCTTGTTACCACTGCAAACAAGCACAGAACTTGTAAGGAACTGGTTTTGCACTAAAGGGAAATAGTTATCAGGAAAAAAAACCAAAAACACAACCTCCACCACATTAATGTGAAAGGCAGAGCATCCTTATTATTCTGTATTTTTCATGTTCATTCCCTCTTTGAATGCTGTGCGTTTTTCCCTTTATAAATGGTATTAAAACAGATTATTCTAAGTAAGTGTGAAAAGTAGTTTGATACTTGACAAAATGCTATATACATTTTCTTAAGAGTGTGATAATAATAATGAGGGGAATAACTTTGCTAATACAGTTTGGTGTTGTCATAGAAGGGATTCACCAGCTCGAGTTAAGTGTTGGAGTGGTGCTACGTGCCCGTGCCATCTCACAGCCAGGGGAAGCCAGCAGTGAGGTCGGTCACTGTCCTGCTTGCCAGACATTGAGTCAATGCAGACATACACTGAGCAGAAGGTGAATTTAGTTATTTGTAACGGTTTTAAAAGATTTCTATTTTGTACTTCTGTAAGGAGAAATGCTAAGATTTTTGAAGTCAGATATGCTCAGTGCTGTCAGCCAGCTTTTCCCTCTCTCGTGCCTCACTCGCTGGTACCTGACAAATATAAACCCCACATCTCCAGAGACTAGAGAGCCTTTAAGCGAGTCTGGCTCACACACTTGTTGGGAAGAAAATAAAAATCTCTTAATTCATATTGAATTCATTCACTGCATTCCAAAATTATTGAGGGGTTTGGATGCTAACAGTGTTAAAATTATTCTGCATTTTCTAGGACAAATCTGTTGGTGTTTTTCAAGGTTTCTTCAAGAGATGCAGGCTCTACGTTTCTAATCATCAGTAGCTACTTTGCTTTTAAACTTTCTTATCACAATACTGACTAGATCATTTGGAATATGAGGAGACAAGGGAGCAAGCTTGCATACTACAGTAATTTTTTATACTTTACCGTCATCTATTTATGAATTTATTATGAAAAATATTTTTAAACATATGAAACCTGCTTTTTGTTGTGAATCTTAGCAAAGTAGTGGATACATTGTACTGTATATCATTTAAAAGGTTTAATTAAAGTAAACATTTGGCAATTGATCTTTTGTTGTTATTTTATGCATGTACCTTGCTGTGGTTTATTATCAGAAACAAAATCAAGTTTTAAGAACTTATGTATCCTATTCTACAGTGCTGTATGGTCTTCTACTTTTATACAAGATACGATCTAATGTACTCGTTATTAAACAAAGTGCTTAACTCTCTTCCTCTTATCTTTACAACTGCCCATCACTTACATAAATGCATGCACATTAAATTATTAAACTCTCCAGCATTACTGGATGGAAGATTGAGTGAAAACCCAAGTTCTCAATGTTGGAGAAGTGCAAATAACTTTTTTAGTGCTTACAATTAAGTGTAAACAATGTCGTTACAACTGTACCTTCCCAAGGGAACATTTAGATCCTGGATTTTATTTAATTGCTGTAAATTAAACAAAGCAACACCCCTTTCTTTTTGCTTGGCTTTTTAATTCTAACAATGGTAGATGAGCAGATTTGATCTGCAGGAGCCAAATATTGAATTACTGTGTTCTGTATTCAGTCTACTACTTCAGTAACAGCCTCAGATACTAAAACTGCAATCAGTATGGCCATGCTTTAAAGCTAGTTCTTCAGAGCGCTGGGTAAAGAGAATTAACTAATAATTCAGCTAATAATGACACATTCTTTACTACTGAAACATTCTGGGTGTACCTCTACATGTCGCTGGTGTGCACAGTGCTGCAGAGAATCAGTGTAGATGTCTAATGCAAGCGTCACACTTAACACATGCCTACTCTGCAGATACTGAGCTTTGTTTTTTGATGTACTTCCCATTGTTCTGCACGTCTGTAATATAGTTTCTAAATCTGTGTGGGGAAAAAAAATAACTTACCCAAAAAAATACAAAGGGCGAAGCAAGTTGTGAATTCCAAGGCTGTGACATGAAGCAAAATGTAACAGTTTATGTAAAGCTGAGTTTCATTTATGTAAGTACTTATTATAATACAGTCCTAAAAATCTAACACATAGAACAGTTCTCTCTAAACCCTGTAAAACACCAGCCCTTCAAAGGCAAGCCTGTGCTTTCACAGCATACACCAACGATGAGCTGCTAGGCATATGTCACCTGGTATGAGCCTTGGAACCTGCCTGTCTTGCTGCTAAGAAGCTCTCACAGTATTTCCAGAGCAGAAGGGACACACACCTGTGTTGATATAACTAACTAGTTCATAGCTGCCTCCCAGTTCACCCGCCAAAGCACTACGCAGCACGCAGACCACACAACTATTGACCGAAGAGGGAGCGAGATGGGTGGCCCCCAGTGGGTGGCCAGATCTTCCCCAGGACACCCTTGGGGACCCCTTAAAACATGAACAGGTTAAACCAGTCGTAAAACGTTATGCAGAGGAAAAAAAATAAAATGCTGCTCTGATCTCGGCTGCCTGATCATCTGCAAGTGCGTGGCAAATTAAAATACGTATCACTAACAGCGCTCTCGTGTAGTTTTCAGTACTACACTGACAGCCAGCAAGCATATCTTTCAAGCTCAGTGAAAAACATTAATTTTAGAGGATCTTTTTCAATACTCTTACCAACAGTCATCTGCAATCCCACCACAGTGCAGAGGTTGCTTTTCATCCCCTACTGCTGCTGCAATATTAAGTTTAATCTTTCTAGATACAATTCAATTACACCGTATTGCAGCATATCATCATATTTGTGTTGCTGAAGAACCTAAGACATAGCAACCTAAGGGAGGTTGTCCCAGAAAAAAATTATTGAGCGGTTTATGGAAAGAAGTAAACTACTCCAAAAGCTTCAACAGATTATTGTGAATTACTCACATCTTTAAGACAAGCAGAAGTGGAAGATGTGCTACAGAATAGATTATTTTTTTGCATTTAAGAGTATTGAAGTTTTGACATGATAAATTTAATTTTAAATGCAAGGTTGTTTTTTATATCGAAGAGGTGATATCTAAAAATTTTTCTTCTTAAAATACAAATCTCAGATTAATTGAAAAATGCTTTTAAAGAAAAACATGGGATACTGAAGATAATACATGACTATAGGGTTTACAATGTTGTCAGTTTCGTATTAGCAAAAATAAGTACAGGATATATTTTTGAAAGGCTGGTTTTGAGGGGTTTTTTAATAGAACATAACGTGTTGCGAATAAAAACACTACTACACAAACAAAGGGCAAGCTCTACTTAGAAGAAACTTCAGCAATATCCTCAGGAATTTTTAAGTGCGATTTCAGTGACCTATTTCTGCACATCCTGGTCACTTGGGTGTTTCAACAATACATTTTAAACTTGAAAGAAGTATTGTAACATCCAATAGCTTACCTACATTATTATGACTGAAATACACTGAACATAATGTGGGAAATACTGTCTGTTTCAAAAAGGTAAATGTCAAAGCTGAAAACATTAAATGTAAGTGAAAATTCCTGGTAAGAAGACATTCAAGGAAAGGGAAGCAAAAGTTAAGTTAGGGTCTTAGTCTTACCTAATATTCATTCATCTCACTTTTAGCTGAATAATTGGAAAGAACATTTTACTAAACTCAGTTTTCCTTAAGAACTCCGAAAAAACACAACTTTCAGTACTAAAGATTGAGATTTCTTCTATTTTCACGTGTTGGCCTGTTACTAACAAAGAATCACTAAATTTCACTTTAAAGTACCATAGCAGGAAATACTAGAAATTACAGTGGTAACTCTGATGTAATATTTTATGTCACTTCTTTTCAAAAACATCCTCATCTGTACCACTTCCTGAGTGAACACGAGGCATGAAATTCAAAGACTTAAAAGTCTCTCAGTGTAGCATCTTCATTTGTAAGACGCTAAAAAATACAATGAACAATGACTGCTTTTTGAGGGGTCACATCAAAGAAAAGATGACAAGTCTTTTGCTGGAATTCAGTACTGAGTAAAGCAGGTGAAATGGAAGGTTTGCCTGAGTCGCATACTAGCACCTTAGCACAAATTTAAGGAGAAATATAAATGAGAGCAGGGCTCACTGAGGGAGAAACACACATGCTTTTCTACTCATTTTGCAAATTATGAGGGGTTTGCTACACTACTAACACCAGCAATATTTCAAAATTCTAACTGTGGTGTAAGTGCACATCAACAGCAGCACATGTCACTGAGGAAGCAGCTTGCTGTTGGGCTCTAGAGCTGGATCCAGCCTGTGTGGTGGCAGTTCTAATTAGTCTAATTCAAGTTACCCGGCTCAGCACAACACTGAAGCAGTGGGAGCATATAGCAAGGGGATGCTGTGAGGCACATTAGGCAGGAGCTCCAGGGAAACATCCTCAGTGGTAACTCACTATGCTCCTTCAAATCCTTCCTTAAGAATATTTTTCATGATATGACACCAAAATATTTGCCTAGCTCACTGTTATACTACAATTGCCTATTACACTATAAAACACAAAAGAGAAGTGTTAGTATGTCAATCATCTTTGTCCCCCATCTGTGGCAACAACTGGCAAATTTTGGTTTTGTGCTGATACAGCTGCAGATCCAATGGCACCCCAGTGCACTCCTGGGACTCAGTCACACATTCATACGAAGAATCACATTAAAGATTGCTCCTGCAGACTCACAAGGCAGCATTCACACCCCTGCAAAACAGACATGGTCTAAGAGGGATAGAGACTAAAAAACTGTCTTCCTTTCCATTAAAAAACAGTAGCAGCCTGATTAGCAGCCAAACAGTATTTTTTTCTACATATGCTTTAGAAGTTGATGTTTCCATGAGGGATGAAGTTTTAAAAGTATACAGACAGTTCCTTCATTAACTTTTTGAAGTGTTCATGCATATTCTGGGAAAAAAAGAAGAAACAAACTGAACAGTTGCTGTTCTTCATCAACTTCCACTTTTTTATTCCTTGCTTCACTGACAACCTGAAACTGCTTCTGGTAATAGTTAACAAACTCTGCAACATGCTTCAGTACTGAAACAACGCAACTTCAAGTCATCCTGACATTTTACAAAACTACAATCTTTACTTAGAAAGATTTGGCATACTTTGCAAATAGTTGGCATATTACAGAAAAGTGCTAAAGATATAGGTATATATCTGTTTATTATACCAATGAAAAAAGGCAAGAATGTGCTGCTGTAATACTTTCTCAGTAAAGAAACAGGAAATAGACTGTTTAGAGCAGTGTCTTTAAACTGGATCCAGCAAGATATGTTGAAAGCTACTTATGAAATGTTACACGTGAATGAATCAACAATCCTGGTAAGTAGAGAGGAGGATTACAGTGGTTTGCAAACAGAGAAAACACAAGAAAACTCGACTTCATAGCAGCAATGTTCTCTTCACGGCATGAGTTTTCAGATTTCTGATGTCAAGATAATAAGCAGTGAAGAAGTTGGCCAGCAAATAATTTCTCTTTATGCCACCATCTGTCTATCAATGCTTGTTTTGCAAGAACTTGGGAAAATTGAAGACTCACAGATTTTTGTTTGTTCAATTTATAATTCGAAAAAAAACAAAACAACAAAACAAACCAACCATAAAACCTGACTAGCCCCCAAGGTGATGTTAGGCGATATTTGTGTGTAAGTTGACTTTGTTTTTAAAACACACTTAATTGGCTTCTGTTTTCAAAGCTCATGTCACAAGTACACCATATACTGTGTTATAACAAATAAACACAAAAATATTTTCAAAGGCATCTTTTCGATGAAAATGTTTAAAAGTATTTTACAAAAATAACATAATTTTTTTCTTCTTTTTTAAAATGAACAGCTATAAAATCCATGAACCAAACACATAATATTGACACAAGATGAAATATATCACACTAAAGGCCCATTAATTACCACAGTGGTGTGAAGCTTCAAGTAAATTACTAGGCACTTTTTGCCCGAACAGTAGTCACTCATTCAGTGGAAAAGTCCAACTGACAGAAACACCCAAAACATAACTGCTGAAGCTTTCTAAGATTCTTAATTCCTCAAAAAAGTGCAGATAAAAAGGCAAAGACAAAAAGGCCAGGTATTATGCCGCACAGAACACCCAGTGTTAGCTGCTCTCTGTTCGGCTTAGTTGGAGTTCCAAAAACGGGGTTACAAGTCAGCCTTCTCCATCCGACATGGGCATTTCTATTAAGGCTTTACATGTCAGAGTAGAGAGAAGCAATACCAGCTCCAGGCACATGGGAAAAACAGATGACAAGAAAGGCTGCAGGGTCATACCTGAACAAGTACAGAGTGGCAGAACAGACATGCACTTTGCCCTAATTTAAAAGAGAGCTCCTTACTTGCAGAATCCCCAGCAGTAACAGGTTGTGCTCTGTACCAGCCAATTTGTAACTGTGTGGATGACCCCAGCATCACAGTCTGACAGCCTCAAGAGCCCCAGTGCCAAGAAGCTAACTCTTCCAGCAAACAAAAGAAGGTACTGACGGGGGAATTTAAGTATGAACATGCATAAGCTACTATGAAAAATTGCTATTAAAATACCTAACATTATGAATGGGAGGACAATAAAGGGCAACTAAAGCAAGAAATTACATATTTCAAAGTACTTTAAAAAGCACTATTGGTATTTAATATACTTATATTAAGTATATTAATATACTTAAGTATACTACTACTAAGTATACTTGATATAAGACTGTATGAATTAAAAAGTTAAAAATGTTAGAAAGCAGCAGTTTGTGGTGTGATCTTAAAGCAGGGTTTGGTTTTGGGGAAGAAAAGCATAGCACTTAAGTAGTCCTTAAGAAATCATTTAATCTCAATTAGGTGCAAAGTTCTCCAGCTGGAAGACCAGGTCTACGGCAGCATCAACATCTGGTACAATATGATCTGGTTCTACCAAACCAGGATCAAATCTAAAATCCCTGTGGCCATGGAACACCGCTTCTGTGATGGTCTCCCTGGTATCCAGGGGTACCTCAGTGTGAGGGTTGTAAACCCCAGTACAAACAAGAACAGACCTACAGCGGGCAGCAGCTGCAGATGCCAACTCATTCTCCCAACTGTTGTCTATTTCATCATTCTGAGAGAGAGCAGCAGATCCTCTGCCACCAGCAACTTTGGCCTGAATCCGTGATTTTGAACCTTTTCTGGAGTTCTCTTCAAGATAGCGATTGTAAAGGTTAGCACCATAGACGTCAGTCATGAGATTATCTCTGGAAATGTAAGTAGAAAGTTCAGTCAGCAGTGCAATTTTAGCTGTCTGATTTCAATGTGTGAAAGACATTTTTATGGTTTTAACAGTTTATACTTTACATGACTTTATGTGGAAGTATGCAGATAGGAAGAAATCCAAATCTACATCTATTTTATTAAGTCATTTTCATTAAGCATGACACATGAGAAAAGTGAATAACTCTCTATATTGAAACTGCAGATCAGAGCAGGGGGAGGGGATATCAAGGACAGGTATTAGCAGTCTACGAATGAGTTTATTATATTTCCAAATATCTTGGAGCTTTTGGACCAGTCTTTAATACAATACAGCTTTATGTCTTTCTCTGAAAAGGATTCTATAAAGTGATAGCACACACATATGACTGAGCTTAATGATCTCACAAATAAATTCTATCTCTACATGATCTAATAACTGTCATTTACTCAAAGCTTGTTGTTTTATAGTTTTACTGGTATAACAGTAAATACCTATGAAAATCCTTTCTGTTAGACTTACACAGCCTATTACAGATTTTTTTTTAAAAAGAGAGAAATCTTAGTTGCATATAAACCACTTTTTGTGCTTCTACAGAAATTTCACAAAGAAATAACAAAGTATTATTAATTTTTAAGATTAGAAACAGTGAGGCTCGACAACATTATGAAAAGCACACCACAGCACCACGAACGTTGCATGGGCCCAATGGCATGAGAAACAAACTAGTAAGAGTTGTGTCGTTTTCTTTACTGGTATTTATGTCGCGAGTCATTTCCTGCTGCACTCGTTAGACTTACACCTTACCCAACAGCATAAAGCGTCTGAATAGGTTGCTTCCATCTCCTCTCTGCTGCCTGAGCCCTGATGAGGTATTCTGCATACTGGTAGGTCAGTTTACTAGGTTTGCCCATTAAGGCCTCATATTTCAGATCTTTGCCAGTGATCTTCTTGTAAATGTTTTCCAAACAAACCATGAATGTTCCATGTCCAAACCTACACAAATATAAAGACAAATCAAATTATATAAAGTACAGCTAAAAAAAAAAAAAAGCTAAGCTGTTTTATTTCATTGCCTTTTAGAAATAAATCAGATCTCGTAGCTATCAAATTTCTCTGTTTGCATGCAACATTTCTACAGCTGTTTCACCGAAAATTAAGTGCTGATTAGCTGAACAATAAATACCGCAATAAAAACACGTTACTGGGACAGCACAACAGACTTAACTATTTTTAAATATAGGAATGGTTTGTGTTAGTGTTATTCGCATTGAAGTAGATACCCTAATTACAAAAGTGATGCTTCTTGAAATAATACCTAGCCTGTGATCTGCTCTCTGCAGTGACCAAACAGAATCAGTTAAATTAACCAAGAGGAGAAACAGAAAACGAAAGTTAGAATCAGACAGAAAGAAAACTGATCTCTCCTTAAACACGAGTATACCAAAACCCACTTGTAATATGGAAACAAAAAAACTTCATGGGTTTAAAAAAAAAAAAGAGATGCAAAGGAGGATCAAAGAAAAGACTATAATTTCAATAACTCAGTTACTTTGATCAAGTGCAAACAGTGATGATGGTCATCAACCAAGCCAGTAAATCAGCAATTTAGAAGATATAATCTCATGGCAAAAAAAAGCATGTTTACTTCATTATTGTAGTCAAGGTGTGAGATTTGGATAAACTAATATATATCACTTGAGAACACTGAATAAGAAGAATAAAAAGTTGCTATACAACAATTCCATGTACAATAAAATACACATACAACTAAAGAGGAGATGTTAGGTAACTTCAGATGCACAAAGATTAGCACCTGCTCAAAGTATGTACCTACAACCTAAAAAACCCCAAAACACCAATATAATGAGCATCAGAAGCCAGCAGACATATACGAGGTGCACTAATAAAGAAATAAGGTCTCTAATGGCCTAAGAATCAAAATAGTCTTTTAAGGAAAAAAGTTACACAGAAGAAGCAGCTGTAGCACTTTCAAATGTGGTACAGAATTAGCTTTTCTGAATTCTGAATTAACCAATCATTCCCTCGCTCCACCCTCTTTGTTTCTTTGTATTATGGAATATCAATAAATAAGCACAAATTTATTTCCAGTAGTTATTAGCAACAGCTTGAAACAATTTAGTCACGGCATTATATTCCAACAGTGAAGGTAACCGTACTATCAGATCCAACCTTGTCATACTGTCAAACTCAAAGGAAAAAAACAAACTTTATAGTGGATCCTTCCCAAAGGACAAGACTGAATGTATCTTATCACTATAGATATACTGGTTTATCTATATATATATATATGTATCTATATATAGATATACTGGATTATCACTATAGATATACTTATCACTATAGATATACTATATTGCCTTACTCTAGCCTGAAACTATCACACACATGTCTTTTGCCAACGTGCTAATTAGAGATGGTCTTTGCATCCAAGTAAGGATATCTGACAAGATCTTTGACACAAGATCAAGGCAGCAATCAGGTCACAGGAACAATTTCTATTTCAGTCTACGTTCAAATTTTAGACTGGGGGGAAGGGAGGGGAAACAAAACTATTAAAGAACTACCTTCTATTGAAAACAGAATCAAGCAAAACCACTATCAGAGATCATGCCACCTTGTTTTGTGTGTTCTACTTGGTTTTTCTTATGTTCCTTAAAGAGCTCCTTATATTGTCCCCAGCTCAAAACCACTCACAGCTTTCAACTAGCAGGATCAACTCTTTATCCTACCAGAAGCTGTGAAGTGGAAAAGAGAAATACCAAAGAAGGACCTAATGAAATGAAACAATGGCCGTGACAGTTTTTTTCATTTTTATCTTTGAACTGAGACTCAGACCCTCAGGCAAACCCCTAGCTTTCCCCACTCTTCTGAGACACAAAAATGTTTATAGCTTAAAAGCAGTTTTTATCTTAAGTGATTTCCCGAATGCAGTTATGTAGACAATAAGGCAGCATTTGCTGAAAGTGCACTGCTTTAGAGGTGTGTATTCAGAGATGAGACCTACTGTGAAGCTATGCAAGCATTTTGTATAAAAGTATTTACTCTGAATTTTACTGAAGAAATGAGGAAACCCCAGTTATATCACGATATACACACGTTACAATCACACTTACCTTGGAGACTGGGCTTCAGCTACCCACATCAGATCCATATTACAAGCAAGTACAGGAATGTGAGGGTAATTTTCATGGTGGTACGGATTTCCAGGATAGCCACTTGTCAGCAAAACATCTATTATCAATTGAAGGTTGGTTTCCCATCTGACTGGCTCCCCAAACAAAACAACAGCTATGAGAACAAGAATTACAAAATAGTCACAGAATTAGCTAACAGGGAACCAAATCTCTGACATCAAAACTTGGTCTAAAGAGACTGAGCTTTACCACCATGAACTGATGAAATAGTCACATCACCTGTAACTTAGGGTTTTAATATATTACGTACCCATTCATTCACAGAAGATCTCAGAAGTAACAAGACCCCAGTGCAAAATCTACAGCATTAATAATTCTTTCAAATTGTCTAAGTTTCTCCATCGCACCACAAAATACTAACTTCTAAATTGTATTTCTAAGTCTTCCATACCTTTGTGAATTCTATGTTTACATACAGTATTTAAATAATCCATCAGAGATGTTATTTTGTTCATCTTAAAACAAAATTTGAATGTTGTTCTTAGACATTTTTCTGGTCTCCAGCAATAATCTGACATATTTTAAGATCCTAAAGTCCAGAGATGAGAGTGAATACAGTGTACTGAAACGAGATGCTTCTCATACTACAACTCTGAAGTGACCATCTTGACTACTGTAAGAAAAAGACCAAGTATTTCTGAACATGTAAATTTATTCCTCATTTTTGAAAGGAAGGCAAATAATAGCCTGTTAAAGAGAGATGAAAAAGAAAGCAGACCTCACCTACCTTCTGAAATCTCAAAAACACATGGCTGAAAACTGCAAACATTAAAAAAATAGCTTTATCACACATGATACATTTCAAATTAATGACAGATGTCATTAAAAAGGAAATTTTAGAGTCGTCTCGGCCAACCTTCTGAAGTGCCCAACAATTTAAAAAATAAATTCTAATTACAAAGTACAATAAAGATATTTCATCTATTAATGGATAGTTGCAAGTTAAATAAAGATAACTGACCCTCAATCTTGGGAAGCTCCACAGCAGAGGGGTACTGCAATAAGAAAAAAGTGAAAGTTTTCTACAAGATTAAACATCTACTACTATTTTTAACAGAATAAATTCAAGTATAGCTTCCACAATTGCCTTCTGCAACACTGACAGGAAATGCACTCTCTATTTTGGTATATACCTGATGTCAGTTTACTTAGAAACTTGTACTTCAATTCTGAAGTGAAATCCTGTGGCAAACGGACAGCAGACATGTTAGCGTGTTCTACATTTGCTGGCCTCCTACATCTATTTAACTTCCTCTGGCAAGCTCTACATCTTCAGCTGTTTCATTTACTTGTGTACGAAAGTATGGATGTTTGTTTTTCCACATGAGTAGGAGGCCTCTATTATTAACAAGACATTTGAAAAACAGTTTTCAAAATTTATTTCTTTAACACTGCTAAGAAAAATACATTGTATAACACAATGTATTTGCTAAACAATTAAGTTTGCATGTCATGATTTTCTCCCTGTGGTGACAAATACGTTAACAGTTTCTTGAACTTCTACATCTGCATGGTTGAGAAGCAAGGCAAAAAGTGATATAACCAAGTTATGGAGTCTATAAACCACAGATAATTTCTTGACTTCACATGGAAAAAAATCTACTCTATATACTGACCCTGAATATGTTAATACACACATGTATTTACGGTGTATGTTTACACTTCTTTTTGAAATTCTGCACAATTCAGTTGAAGCCATACTGTACATTGTCCAGTCCTCTGGAGAAAGATTAGTTATGTGCAAAGCATGAATCTACAACCAAAGCAACCTCACAGTCTAGAGACAATACTAAGACAATCATGGAAAAAGCTTATTTTATCTTTCACACATCTGAGGAAGCTACTAAGCTTTCCAAGACAGATTTTGAATTAGGTATCTGTCCTAAATTATAAGCTTTCCCTCAACACTAAGTTACAAAATCAAAAACTATGTTAAAGGATTACCACTGATAGAAAAAAAGTCTATACAGTTGTTCTTGGAAACGCTGCAATGAAACAAATAAAGAAGTAGAAAAACAAAGTTAAAGTACAGTGTAAGAACAGCAGCATTAGCTCGGTAGTTTAAATGTTGACCCCTATTACAGCATGTCATCTAATGAGTGAACAAAAATATATACTCACCAGAACGTTAGGTCTTCTCTCATGGTCAACTACATCTAGCAAAGGGTGTTTCTCCCGCAATGTTTCAATGGTAATAGGTTGACAGAAACCAAGGCTGGAAAGATACCAGTTAAGGATACAGAACTGCTTTTATTAAAAGATCTTAAAAATCAGTAATTCCATTTTAACAATGTTAACGTAGGCAGTTTATCTGGTAAAGCAAATTATTTAGGAATGAAAGCAACTTATCAAAGACCAATTTCTTCTTCTGTAAGCTAAAAAGATGATCATCCCATTATTTATAAATGGGAGACCTGAGTGTCTGAAATCTGAAGACAGAAATTATTCATAAGTCTTTCTCAAAATACGAGATGAAAAGCAAAGCAGCTACTCTATACTTGCAATACTCCAAGATCATCTTTACACAAGTAAAAAAAGAAGTTTATCTGGCAGCAAGACAACATCTTGTGTAATTATTAAAAGAAATACAAGCTAGTTGAGGAAAAAATACTGTCTCCACAAACTGTGCTTACCTTTGGCCACTATTACTGCAAGCATATTGCTAGATAAACAAACACCGCAAGACGGTGAACTGACCAATCAGGTTTAATTACATTCTACAGGTAGTTAAGATAAATACCAAAACACATCAAAAAAGGAAAAGACCAAAAGGCAAAAAATAACCTCCTGGTTTGCATGGTAGTGCTCTTAAATGACGATATATCCCATTAATTTAAACTTAGTTAACAAGAGGTAATCAAACTAAAACTGCTCATTTATGTAAAAAGCAGTTGTGATGCTACTCTCAATGCTAAACCAACTTTTTACAATGCAAATGTAAATAAGAGCTATTTAAATATCTTAGTTATACAAACCAAGCCACCTGATTTTGTATTGGAATTACCACCACAGGCCATATGTAAAGTTATTTTAAGGTAAGATTATCCTGTATGAAAATGCTACCCAACAGAAATATAACCATATATTTTGTACTGAGTCTTGTAGTATACTTTTATCTATGCCTAACATATTTTGACAGTTAACTGGAATGTTCCTTCAGTATTTTTTTCTCATCTTTGTTTTTGAAATAAAGCTTATACTTAAAAGTTGCATATGCATTTTTTACAACTTGCAATTAACACCAACTTTAATTAAAATCCCAATAAAGGAAGAAGTACAGAAGGGAGTTACTGGAAGCATTAGCAAAGATAATGCAAAAGTCAAGGTCGTTAAATTACAGTGCGAAGCTTTGATGACACCATTATATCAAGATAATTCAACTTCTTTTTGACAGTTAGTATAGAAGCAGCAAAATATTTTCAAGTACAGTTCTACTCTAAGTGTCTGTAACAAAACCAATGTAAGCAGGTAGCCAGTCCAGGTCACGAGTGGATCATAAGTCAGTGATCTAAAAATCAGATGCAACAAATAATAGAATGCCACGCTCTCATCCTCCAGAGAGCACAAATGCTTTGTGATGAAATGTTATTTACATATGAGTAAAAAAAAAAAATTATTTTTTTCCTTTCCCACTAAAAATAGACAGAACAAAGTGAAGCAAGTGTCAACACACCAACCATTTTCAAAACACAAATCACAATAAGAACTACTATTGATTTGTAGTGTTGAAATATTTGGTCTTCACTTGGTCCACAGGATCCCCTGCACTTGATTAAGGAAAAAACCAGAAAGTTAGGGTTTTTTAAAAGATACTCTTGAGCAATATCAAGTAGCGGTCCTTGTCCAGATACAAGAACACATTTTTCATGATAACGTTTGAACATCCGCAGAGGACTGTGAGACATCATCACTTGATCTTGTGAAATCTGTTTGGAATTTAAAAACAAAAGAAGGAGTCTGTTGTTTTTCAGGTAAGTTATTTATATGAAGATTTAATCAACAGGTGTGACAAATTCCATGAATTACAAAGCAATCACACCTATCGACCTAAAATCCTACCGTATCATTTTCTCCTAAGTTTCACAGATGACATATTGATATACCACTCCAGAAAATAAATCCATACTCCTGACAAATTATCATATACATCCCTTTCAGCTTCCGGAATTACTCTATTCAACATGAACACCACGTTTTCTCTCCTAGTTTTACAGAATCACCATGTTCATTTAGAAAACCAAAAGGGAAGAAGAATCAGAACTGCCCTAGTTCCAATTGCAGCCCCTTTGCTAGACTGCAGCATTGATTTATTTGTATCAGAAGACCTTCTTTTACTTTATATATCCTCTTTCCTTCAATAGGTATAAAACCAGTAAAATTATTATCTTGTAAGGGTGATGCTACTATGAATAGCTACTTACCACCACCTTTACAGATCTAAAAAACCCAAACCCAGTTGAGCTGTCATTTTATCCATGACACACAGGATGTTATTGATACAGACATGCCCATGTTTGCTGGCCCTACTGAAACAAAAGGTGCTGCAGAACCGTCTTTAATGGCTTTTACCTTAGTAAATGCTCAAACACAGTCTCCAACGATGGAGAAGTCCTGCTGCCTGCAGCGCCCACAGATCAGGAGGGAATAAAGAAAGATTTACCACTTGTATCTAAAAGAGGCTGGAAGCTCCCGTCTTGAACATTATCACAGAAGACATTCAGCTTGCTAGAGCAGAGTTTCATGTTACTGGCAAACACATTTTTTTATTCAGAAAGGGAAGGCAAGATTTATTCCCATAATAATAATGTTGCAAAGAAATAAAGCTCATTACCATGAGCTTTACCATTGGAAAAATCAGTACCAACAGAAATACCACTAGCTTTGGACAGTATTTTTTACTTTTCTAATACCTCCAGCAAAGCATTTCAGGGAGCTTAAGTGAAAAACAAAACTGATTAACTGAGCAGCATTTAATATATTTGACACATTCACCGTAAGTAAATAACTAAATAAATAGTATTTAAGTTATGCTACTCACTGGAACTCCCAGTAGATGAGACAACTGATCAGCTTTTTTCTGGCGAAGGCAATTCCCTGCATTGGTAACAAATACTACAGGCACTAAGAACTGTCCCTGAGAATTCACTAGCTTTTGAAAGGCTGTTTTTGCAGCAGGAATTGGAGTCTTTCCTCGTACCAGTACACCATCAATGTCAAAAAGAAAACCAAAAGATGGCAGTATGTTGACCTGTAAGGAAGAATTGAAGAGTACATTAGTTATGCCCTTACTTATGCCTGTTTGATAAGCTTACAATAGCTAAAAGCCCGATGAAAACAGATGCCTCCCCAGAGGAGGAAGGCATCTTTAACTTTGTACTTCTTAATGTGCCTTACAGACGTATTCATATGCTAAAATGCCTACTGTGAAAAAAGGAGCACAACTAACTCCCTTTTCCTTATGCATACAGCCTCATGAGCTCCATCTTGCTTTACAGTAGTTCCGAAACATTTCAGAAGATAGGGACAAATTGAGTTAAACTGATAGGAAGAGGTACAAAATACACGCTGCTGTGCCAGCGAGTCTTTGAGCCATGTTTGATTGATTTAACCCCACTATTTCACAGGTAATTTCAGTACACAGAATACTAATAAAATAAAGTATATTTTTCAGCAGCAGATAGGTCTGGAATGTAAGTATTGTACTTGGCTCCTCCCTTACAAGATGTTTAGATGCCAAAACTGCCCCTGCTGTCACTTGTACTTTCAGTTCCACAACAGGTTTGACTGTGACCAATTAGCTGTTGTGCTCCTTATACCCTGCTTCAGTTGATTTGTAGTTACATATATGGCAGACTGATGCCTATTGGTAAAGTTAGCACCTCCTTACACAAAGATGCTGTTTGGGTTACTAGAATTTAACTCATTGCCTGCCTTTGAAGAAGTGAAGAGCTGGACTTCATGACCCTGGAAAAGGCAAGCAAGGCTAAATGGGGGTAAGAACGATGAGCTGGGTGCTAAGCCTAAGGAGTGGAGACAGAGAGGGGACTGCGGAGCAACAAAACCACCGTTACTGATTCAGGTTGGAAAAGGATGGACCAGAAAGGGTCTAGAATCCAAACTTCATTTCTCTCACAAGCCTAAAATGGAATCGAAGAATCTTGGGATTTGTGATCCCCTCCTTCATCGTTTGATGAAAATGGAGTGAGAGATTAAGTGTTGAGACTGAGCAGGCACAGAAATGACCCCAGCCGCGGAGGTGGGAGAGCCTTTGCTACTCACACCGCCTCTGGGCACGTCCTGACAGCAATCCAGCCCACTGCTCTTCCCATACGGGGAGAAGGGCATTTTGCATAATTAAACAGCACTTTTGTTTCTCATCAATTATTCATCCTGCAGCTGGGTACTGCACAGAGACAGACACTGCCACGGCCACCACCATGTGAAAGGTGCTGTAGCTACAGACACACCGGCTCCCACTGCTGCCTTCTCTAAAACCACGGCACACACACGACATTTAAAAACCCATGAGTTTGAGTACATTCCCTTACAGAGCCCAATTTAACGAAGTCAACACTTTAATTGCATTACATTATCATTCATTTAAATTAGGCACTTGTTTTTTGTTCAGTTTTACACGCATGAATTACCCCCTGAAGCTTTCTCCTTTCTTTTCTATATAACCATCATCTATTTAAAAACGAAAAGCCCTGCAACCCTTGTCTCCAAGTTGTCTGCAACAGTTTCAGGAATGCCACATTAGAAATAACCCAGCTGCTACAGAAATGACGTTGCTGATAAGCACACCGTAGTCTTCTCGGGCTCATGAGCTGGCACATGAAATTACTGAAACTAGATGGTAATAGTTTTGTCATAAATGCAGTTCTTGACACTAATTTTTCTACCTGTAAATAGGCAAGAAACATGAATTCTACAGTGAACAACACTGTAGCAAAAAAGAAAAAAAAAATTCTAAGTATACAGAGAAATAAAGAACTAAGAATGGAATTCAGCCTATATCTAACAGAGAAACAGTGAAATTATCAGCTATTCTTTTTCCTTTTGACCACAAAGGAACGCTCTCTTCGCCGCAGAGCGCTCCGCAGCAACAGCGGGGACGGGACGAAGCCCGCGGCCCCGGGCGCGACCGCCGCGTCTCTCCGCCACGGCACGAAGCACAAGCGGC